GAATCAGAAGGCTTAATGAGTTATAAATAATAGCTAGTTGCCTTCCTGGGATATTTGTGAAGATGATATCAGATATGCAAATGAGTTCATTTTGTAAGTGGCAGACTAATCTACCTACTAAAAGTATTTTTGGACTACATAAGTGACATTTATTTACATAAGGAATATTACACATTTGAAGTGTGATGCCTTGATGTGCTACATATTATTTGATGGGCAAGCTTGAAAAAAATCAAAAGGGGCTTCATTTGATCTTTTGGTAGCACTTGGTATACTATTTTCACTGTTGAGGAAAACCTGGCTTTTCTCCTGACAATGACTTTGCACTCTGCTGTAATAAAGGCTCTGAAATTGTAATGTGCTTTTCTGGTTAGGCCTTTAATTTTTGTTTTAATCTCATGTTGAAAAGTGTGAGAGAGATCATTTGTCTGACAGGAAGTGGCTCTCTCTCTTTTTTAGGCTCTAAAATGGGCTTTTAGTTTACCTCATGAACAGACTACATTAAATAGGAAGTCAGGTTCTCAGGAGAGGTTCTTAGTAGTTTTAACACCTTCTGGGCAGATTATCCCTAGCCATCTGACTTTTTGGCTAGCTTCAGGTTAACTTGACCCTAGAATATTCATGTTAAATAGTCTTAGAAATTTAAAGTAATTAATAGCTTAGTGAATATAGTAAATGAAAGTAAAAGGCAAACAAATGAATAAAATGTGCTGATTGCTAATGACCTTTATAAAGTCATTATTACAGATTATCAACTAATTTTGTTGTTGTTGTTTTGTCATCTTTGGGCTTGAACTCTGGGCCTGAGCACTGTCCCTGAGCTCTTCAGCTCAAGGCGTGCGCTCTACCACTTAAGCCACAGTGCCACTTCTGGTTTTCTGGCAGTTAATTGGAGATAAGAGTCTCTTGGACTTTCCAAGCCCAGCTGGCTTTGAACAGAGAGCCTCAGATCTCAGCCTCCTGAGTAGCTAGGATTACTGGCATGAGCCACTGGCACCCAGCCTATCAACTGATTTTATAGATGATAAATACTTACTAGTATTACCACTAGAAAGTAACAGTGCATGCACTCTATTCTGTAATCAGGTATGCAAACTTTTTTTTTTGTTGTTGTTGGTCATGGGGCTTGAACTCTGGGCTTAGGCTCTTCAGCTCAAGGCTAATGCTCTACCACTTGAGCCTCCGTGCCACTTCCAGTTTTCTGAGTGGAGATAAGAGTCTCACGGACTTTCCTGCCCAGGCTGGCAAAAACCGTGATAGTCAGATCGGATCTCAGCCTCCTGAGTAGCAAGGGTACAGGCATGAGCCACTGGGCCTGGCAAGATAATGCAAATCTTAACAAATGCAATATTCTCCCTCCTCCCCACCCCCATGTGGGGCTTGAACTCTGAGTCTGAGCACTGTCCCTCAGCTCTTCAGCTCAAGGCAAGCACTTATCACTTGCTATAGCTCCACTTCCGGTTTTCTAGTGGTTTGTTGGAGATAGGAGTCTCACAGTCTTTCCTGCCCAGGCTGGCTTTGAACTGCGATCCTCAGATCTCAGCCTCCTGAGTAGCTAGGATTACAGGTGTGAGCCACCGGTGCTCAGCAAATGCAATATTCTTAAATGGAAGACAACTATTAGAAAATTAAATTATCATTTTGTGAAAAAGATATTTGAAATAAAAAAGGATGTGTTTATTTTTATCCAGTTAGAACAACTCTACATTAAAAAAAATTGTTAATAAAATATAACACTGAGCCATAATCCAATAGTTGTTGTTATTTCTCTGTTAAAAAAAAAAAGTGCGTGCGTGTGTAAAAATAATGAAGCCTGGAGGCTTCCTAGTACCCCTGAGGGCAGAATAAACTTGTCTATCTCTCTACCCAATAATAGTCTTTGCAAGCTTTTTCAAAATTGAGTTCCTTGGGGAACTCAGGATCTTTCTTTCATTGAAAGAATATTTGCTGGTATCTCAGTTTCTTCTAGTTTACTCACTTTATTTCAAACTTTTTTTTTTTTTTTTTGGTCGGTTCTGGGGCCTGAACGCTGGGCCTGGGTGCTGTCCCTCAGCTCTTCAGCTCAAGGCTAGTGCTCTACCACTTGAGCCACAGCACCACTTCTGGCTTTTTGTGCTTATGTGGTGCTGATGAATCAAACCCAGGGCCTCATGCATGCAAGGCAAGCGCTCTATCACTGAGCCACCTTCCCAGCCCTATGTCAAACTTTAACAGAGGTAGGGTTTTCAGTCCTCAAATAAGGCACTAGTGGGTTTTGTTTCCTAATTTCAGAGGTTGTTACATGGGAGAAGGAAACTTAGGAAGTAATGCTTTATTGATTCACTTCTACAGAAGTTATTTTCTAGATCGAGATAATTTGCTACGTAACAGTATTACTGCCTCTTTCTGAACATGGATAAAGTGAATTTATTCCTCCTCTGAGAGGGTGTTTCTCTACCCCATTATGCCTAGAAGAGCCAGCTTACCATGGACTGGTTGTCTTTATTTTTATGATGCACATAACCTTGAAGTTGGCATTTCTGCACTGTGAACTCAGCCAGCCATGTGTGTCTCTTTTTGAGATAGGTCCTTGCTGTGTAGGCCAGGCTGTCCTGGAACTCATTTATCTAGCCCAGCCTGGCCTCAAACTTCCCCATCTCCACCAGTCTCCTAGGTTCTGAAATAATAGATGTGTACCGCTGTACCACACCTGGTTTTAGTAAACATTTATTTTGTTGGTCGTGGGCCTTGAACTCTGGGCCTGGGCACAGACCCTTAGTTCTTCAGCTCAAGGCAAGATAAGACTTTCCTGCCCCAGCTGGCTTTGAACTGTGATCCTCAGGGCTCCACCTCTTGAGTAGCTAAGATTACTGGCGCCTGGCTCCAAGAGGCCTTTCTTTTTTTTTTGGTCAGTCGTGGGGCCTGAACTCTGGGCCTGGGCGCTGCCCCTCAGCTCTTCAGCTTAAGGCTAGCGCTCTACCCCCTGAACCACAGCACCACTTCTGGTTTTTTCTGCTTATGTGGTGCTGAGGAATCGAACCCAGGGCCTCATGCATGCAAGGCAAGCACTCTACCACTAAGCCGCCTTCCCAGCCCCTCTAAGAGGCCTTTCTAACCACTGTATTGTATATTCTAATTCCTGCCGCCCTCTCCTTTGGAACTTGTGAACAATTAGTTGGTCACATCTGGAAAGTAAACTGTCTTTTTTCTTTCTTCTGGTTTTGATACTGGGGCTTGAAACTCAGGGCCTCACACTTTGTTTTTCCTCAAGGCTGGTGCTCTATCTATCTACAGCTCTACTTTAGCTTTTTGTTAGGTAATTGGAGTCTCCTGAATTTTTGTCTGCCTAGGCTGGCTTTGAACCATAATCCTCATATCTCAGCTTCCTAAATAACTTGGATCATAGATGAGAGTTACCAGTGATAGGCTAAGTTGTCTTTAGAGCAGTTTTGTTTTTTTTTTTTAATTTTCCTTCTAGTTTCTTCTTAGTACTTGGCATTGTTCAAGGCAGAGTAAGCTCGGTGAATACTTGTTGAATGGTGACTACAGTATTAAATGCTCCAAAGATGTCTCTAGGATTCTTCCTTGTTGGATAGAAATTAGAAAGTTAATTAGAAAGATTGTAAAAGCATTTTCATTAGTTACATCAATATCTTTCTCAAGTGAAATGATGGCATTTTCACAGCTGGGGAGATGAAAGGTGCAGAACCTTGGAAAAGTATATTGAAGCACTTTTGACGGCCCTCTCATCTCACCTGGCTCTGGGGTCCTTTGCCTACAGGCTATTGGTTGTTTTTCTTCGGAATTTCAGAATTATGGGATAATAGTGGCCCACATTCTTCTCCATCATGTGTAATTCTAGAAGATGTGGAAATGGAAACTTGACATCCGTACATAGTAAAATGTAGTGACTCAGCAATGATGAGGGGTACCATCTTATCAGGTAACTAGTTCCAGTTACTTTTAATGAGGCAAGAGTAATTTTTTTTAGTTTTACAAATTAAGTATGGTTTATTTCGTTGTGGGACAGGGGCTAACTATGTAGCTAGCCCAGGCCAGCCCTAGAACTTGCACTGAAGCCCAGGCAGTCCTGCAGGCCATTACTGCTGGTATCTCTTTTTTTTGGGGGGGGGGCCCGGTTGTGGGGCCTGAATTCTGGGCCTGGGCGCTGTCCCTCAGCTCTTCAGCTCAAGGCTAGCGCTCTACCACTTGAGCCACAGCGCCACTTCTGGCTTTTTTCTTTTTTCTTATGTGGTGCTGAGGAATCAAACCCAGGGCCTCATGCATGCAAGGCAAGCGCTCTACCACTGAGCCACCTTCCCAGCCCTGCTGGTATCTCTTCTGCACTGCATTGACCTGCTTCTCAGAGTGGAATTTGGTTCTCCTGCCCCTTCCACTCTGCGCCATCATATTCTACATTTTCTTTCACATTACTCACTCTCTTGCTGGGTTGATTACTTGCTTGCTGGCTGCCTGGCTGTCTGGCTTGCTACTTCCTTCTCCTTCTCTTTCTCTCCCTTTCTCCCTCTTTCTCATTCTCTTTTCTTCTTCTTCTTTTTTTTTTTTTTTTTTGCTGGTCCTGGGGCTTGAGGGCCTGGGCTCTGTCCCTGAGCTTTTTGCTCAAGGCTGACACACTACCATTTGAGCTACAGCTCCGCTTTAGGCTTTTTTGTAATTGGAGATAAGAGAGGTACTTCAGACCTTGATCCTCAGATCTTAGCTTTTGAGTAGGTAGGATTACAGGCATGAGTCACTGGTGCCCACCCTGCATTTCCTTTATTTCAACAATTTAACTGTCCATATTATTATAGATCAGGAGGGTCTCTTTGTCATCAAAGGGGTATTTGGTCTGTAAGTATGAAGTCAAATGTCATATGGTAAATCTATGTATGAGTGGGTTGTCTCGGTTTTATCTGAAGGTCAGTAAGCCACCTTTCATAGTTGGTAGCACCTGGAATAAGAGCTTCCTATAGAATGTTTAAAAAATGGTACCACAAGTCAATATGTTCTTGTATTTGTAGACCTAAAAAATGTCTGAAAATTCCAGTGACAGTGATTCATCTTGTGGCTGGACGGTCATCAATCATGAGGTAAGTTATTTATACTTCTTATGAGGCAGTTTGTAATTTTAGTGTTAGCAGTGTTATAAACTGTTCTTTGAAGGCCTATATTTTTATGTATTTAAAGTAAATGTATCAGGGTAGCTTGAACATTTTCCCTTCAATATTAGATCTGACTGGTGAAAGCTCCTCCCAGGTTAGTTGATATCTTCTATATAATTGTACATAGTTTTCCTAGCTTTGAGACGTTTGGCAGCTGCTTATTGAGTCTTGTTATTGATAGGCCTTGTCCTTGGCCTATATTCTCACAATTTTTAAGAAGTGCCCTGTGAGCCAGGTGCTAGTGGCTCATGCCTGTAAATAGCTACGTAGGAGGCTAAGATTTGAGGATCTCAGCAAGCCCAGCAGGAAAGTTCATGAGACTCCAGTTAACCACCAAAAAGCCAGAAGTGGAAAAAAGTAGAGAATGTAAGGCCCTGGTGTGTTGAAGCCCCAGAACCAGCACCAAACAAAAGGGGGATTGGGCCTGTAATATAGATTATTTCAATTCTTTCTTGGAGGTAGGTTTTGGCCAGGACAGAGTCACACTATATTGATCTTTAATTTGTGATACTTAGCCTCATGAGTGCTGGGATTATAAGTACCTACCACCATGTTTTGCACTCATTCTCTCTCCTTTTTGGCAGCAGTTAGATTTGAACTCAGGACCTTGTGCTTGTTGTACATGTCTCTGAGCCATGTCTACTTAGGCTTTCTGCTGGTTATTTTGGAGATGGAGCCTAGCTAACTTTCCTTCTGCCTACCTAGTTTAGCCTCCAACTGCTAGGATTACAGGCCTGAATAACTGATGCCTATCTCATTCTTGTTTTACAGTTGTGAAGACTAAGTGTTAGAAAAGTTAGTTCAGTAATTTGGCTGAGTGTATAGCTAGAAAATTGACCAGACTGTCAGTAAAATGGAGAACGTCTGTTTATGTTGTATTATAACAACTTGATAGGACCTTAGGGCTAGAACTGTCACCAAATAAGCTTTATATAGCATGATGCACACAATATACATAACTAGAACGTAATAAGCATTGGTTTATTTTCTCAAACTGATAATATATATATATATATATATATATTTATAGAAAATGAAGAGAAGTCAGGATTGTGGCTCATGCCTATAATCTTAGCACCTTAGGAGGCTAAGATCAGAGGATTATAGTTAGAAGTCAGCCTGGACAGGGAAGTCCTTAAGATTCTCTCCAATAAAATAGCAAAAATAATGGACTCGAAGTACGGTACCAAAAATAAAAAGAAAAATACAAGCCCCAGATATTGCTATGCTTCAAAGGGAAGGTCATCAAATCCAAAGTAGGTTGGTTCAGTTAAGTCCATAGAAGCTTATGGCAGGGAAACATCAGAATAAATTCTCAGGTTTGAAATTTGTGTCAAGTGGGTCGAGAAACAAAATGCCTATGCTATTTGATGAACACATAAAATACATTTGAATCTCAGAAATGGTGTGTGTGTGCACGCGGGCATACGTAAGTGTGTCTGCATGAGTGAGCACGCACTCTCACAAGCTTGAATGTAGGGCTAGGCACTATCCCTGAGCTTTTTTGGCTCAAGGCTAGTGTTCTACCACTTGAGCCACAGTTCTGCTTCCAACTTTTGGATGCTTAATTGGAGATAAGAATCTCATGCACTTTCCTGCCTGGGCTGACTAGAAACCATGATGCTCGGATCTCAGCTTCCTGAATAGCTAGGATTGCAGGCATAAGGTGTTATAGAATATAAAAAATTAAAATTTGCAACTCATTCAAAGATAAAACCACATGCAAATAAACCTTTTTTTTTTTGGCCAGTCCTGGGGCTTGAACTCAGGGATTGGGCGCTGTTCCTGAGCTGCTTTTTTCAAGGCTAGTACTCTTTAACACTTGAGCCACAGTGCCACATTTGGCTTTTTCTGTTTATGTGGTACTGAGGAATGGAATCCAGGGCTTCATACACAGCACTCTTACTACTACTAAGCCATATTCCCAGCTTAAACAAACTTTCCTTTTTTTTCCCCCCAGTTGTGGGGCCTGAGCTCTGGGCCTGGGCACTGTCCCTCAGCTTTCTAGCTCAAGGCTAGCGCTCTACCACTTGAGCCACAGCGCCGCTTCTGGCTTTTCTGCTTATGTGGTGCTGAGGAATCCAATTCAGGGCTTCATGCATACAAGGCAAGCACTCTATCACTGAGTCACCTTCCCAGCCCCAACACTATTTCCTATAGCATATAAACCAGAACTATTTTTTGTGTGCCACCAGGGCCTCTTTGCTTCACTTTTTTACTCTTAGGCCTGTGCTCTTCCACTTGAGCCATGTGTCTAATTGAAGCTCTTTTGCTAGTTAATTGGAGATAAAAGTCTCTTAAATTTGTCTGCTCAGACTTGCTTTGAACTTGGATTATAGGTGTAAGCCTTTGGCATCCAGCTAGGACTTCTGATTTTTGGAAGCATTTCCATGCAATCACATCCAGCAATAATATATAATATGCAATAATATACAAATAACTGAACGATAATCACTTTTTCCCTAGGGGTCTGATGTAGAGATGATGAATTCTGTCTCTGGCAGTGACAGCTGTGAGCTTATCCCAGAATGTTCATCTCTAGAGCAAGAGGAAGTACAATTACTGCAGATAGAGCAGGGAGGTAAGTGGTTAAATTCTTTTTTTGTTGTTGTTGGTGGTGGTGGTGGGGCTTGAACTCTGGGCCTGGGTGCTATGCCCCAGCTCTTCAGCTCAAGGCTAGTACTGTTCCACTTGAGCTACAGCGCCACTTCCAGTTTTCTGGTGGTTTATTGGAGATAAGATGGACTTTCTTGCCCAGGCTGGCTTTGAACCATGATCCTCAGATCTCAGCCTCCTGAGTAGCTAGGATTACTGGTGTGAGCCATTGGTGCCCAGCTTGTGAGTGGTTAAATTTTAACTTCTTAAAACCTTTGGATGTCTGAATGACATTGTGAGTTTTGTGTGGTCAGCCTTTCTGGCTAATGATGCAGTGGTCAGGTCATGAAGAACTAAAATTATTAAGTGCAGATTAGTTGGCACTGAAGTATGGGTTTAGAGAAGTCAAGGCAGGGCCCAGTCCCCTCTCTGCTCTAAGGGCTTGTTATATAGATATGTAATTTGTTACCAGTGACTACTATTACATGGATTATGGTGAATTGACACTTGATGTCAAATGCAATTTGTTTGCCATTATTAATGTTATGGCTAAGAAAGAGATTAAACTCTTTCCAGTGATCATGTATAGAGTATTTGCCTTTGAATTTGATGAAATGGCCAGGTACCGATGGCTCACACCTTTAATCGTAGATACTCGGGAGGCTGAGATCTGAGGATTGCTGTTCAAAGACAGCCCCGGGGGGAAAGGCCGAGAAACTTTATCTACAATTTAACCACCAGAAACTGGAAGTGGTGTAGTGGCTCAACTGGTATAGCACTAGCCTTGAGCTGAAGAGCTGAAGGACAGTACCCAGGCCCAGAGTTCTAGCGCCAATATCTTCAGAAAAAGAATTTGATGAAATGGTATTTTGCCATGTAGTTTCATGTGGTTGTGAGATATATATCTATATATCTATATCTATATCTGTATATATATTTGAAGCCCACATTATTTATATAAATACAACTCTTAATAATTACCTCATAATCTTCTTATATTCTTAAATCTTAAAAAGAATTGAATTAAAATATAAAGTAACTATATAACTGTAGAGAATAAAGTAACTGCATCAGGGTCAAAAATAGAAATTGTATACACTGGACAAATGAGTGTATTTTTTTTCTTTTGAGACAGTTTCCTTATGTTGTGGCTAGCTTCAAATCCGTGGTTCTACTATATCAGACTCCCAGGTGTTGAGCTGGCTTCAAAACTACCATCCTCATATCTGCCTTCTGAGTAGTTAGGTATGAGCCAGCTTCCAAGAGTCTCTCTAGCTCTAATCCAGAAGTAGAGGCAAAGCTCAAGTGGTAGAGCACCAACCTATGCCAGCTTTGGGGATAGAGGAAGCTGAGCAAGAACATGAGGCCCTAAGTACCAATATGGGGCATGGCAGGGGGAGGGGGGGCAGAACTCATTGTCTAGTGTATATACAATACATACATGTGTATAAGGTATAAGTATAGTATAAGCAAACTTTTTTTTGTTTGCATGGAGAGTGTTGTTGGTTCTTAAGTAATGATGAATGAACTTTTTTTTTTTTTTTGGTCCGATTGTGGGTCCTGAACTCTGGGCCTGGGTGCGGTCCCTCAGCCCTTCAGCTCAAGGCTAGCACTCTACCACTTGAGCCACAGTGCCAATTCTGGCTTTTTTTTTTTTTTTTTGCTTATGTGGTGCTGAGGAATTGAACCCAGGGCTTCATGCATGCAAGGCAAGCACGCTACCACTGAGCCATCTTCCCAGCCCATGATGAATGAACTTTTAAGCAGGAAATGTTCTCCCTGGTATCTAAAAGTACATGTTCTTAGTTCTTATCTTGGGTTAAGTAATTTTGTTATTACAACAGAGCTTTTATTTAGTCAGATTAGTTTTCATTTAAGTTCTTAATAGATTCTAAATGAGTGCAGTTCAGTGTCTTAAATTGTCTCTTAATTTGTAATAATTATAATCTCTTAGTAAGAGTAGAGTGGCTTAGAATTAATAATACATTAAATTCCCTTGAACATATTGGAAATAGATTTTTTTGTGTACCCTGACTTACATAGGCTACAAAAAGTCAAGAAGTATTTTAAAGAATTCTGTACTGTATTATACAGCTTTAGGAAATAAAGTTTGAAGAGTTATTAATAGGAAAAAAAGATAAATTTATTGATCCTTGTGTTCTATCAGGAAGCAGCCAAAGCCAAAATGAGACACTGTTACTGGGAGAAACTGCTTTTCCTGCTTTGGAACAAATTATATCAGCAATTGAGGTAAATTGAGGTATTTTTCTCTGAATGTATGATAAACAATATCCATAGAGAATATTAATTGAAGTCTCAATTCTAGTTGTGGATTTATTCCTATTTGAATTATAAGCACATTTAATGGAAAAATTTGTCAGTTTTAATGTTAAACTGTATTGGGGGTCATGCCCATAACCTTGTATGTACTTGCTAAGAATGCACTCTGCCACTGGGCTCCATCCTTGGCTCTGTCTTCTAATTTAGAAAAGTCATGTGTTTTATGCATTATTTCCGTTATGTTAAAATTTTTAATATTCAACCATGCATATCCAAAATGTTGTCATTTCAAGAGTTAAGCAATATGCAATATTATATGATATTTTCCTTTTTTTTTTCTTTTTCTGCATGAAATTTTTCCTGTGTATTTCACTCATGGTTGCATACCATGATAGGAATTCCACAGCCTTGCTACTGTGCGGTCCTTTACTGGCTGGGTAGGCATCATGTCTTTAGGAGTTGACAGTGGTCAAGCCCTTGTCCACTGTCTGTGAATTCAATCCCCAATACTGAAAAGAAGAAATACAAAAGAAATTATACTTCATTTTCACCTCATACTTTCATAATACTAGGAACCATTATATATTTTAAATTGCACAGAAAATATAAGACTCAAATAATGATTGGATTTACTGTCTGTAATTTTGTGACTTCTTAGGTAGAAGAAACGAAGTCACCTGAACACAATGTCTATTTTGGAACTGCCAGTGATGACTCTGATATTGTTACCCTTGAGCCACCTAAGTTAGAAGAAACTGAAAGTCAAGAGGTTCTGGTTGCTGAGGAGGCACACAATTCTGATGACTTTCACATGGGCTCCTCCTTGAGCAGCCAGTATGCATTCTGCCAGCCAGAAACTGGTAAGACCTATGTAAAGGTAGCACATGGATATAACACTCAACCACTTATTTTTGTATCATGTTTTCTAATTCTAGCTCTCAACTTTTGGATATATTTCAGTGAGAATTAAAAAAAAAATTTTGTTTATTTTTTGTTTTTATGTGGTACCAAGCACAGAAGGGGTAGGCAAGCACTCAACCACTAAGTCACATTCCCAGCTCCAAAACTCAAATCAAAAAATAAAATCTACTAGATTTGATGTTTTCCTTGTCACTATGGCCCTAGAGTAAAGCATTATTTTGTCTTGACTATACCCTCTTTTCCTTTTTCCTTGTTTTGTGAAGATTAAAACAAGGTCCTTATGCTAGATAAGCACTCAACCATTGAGCTACACTCCAGCCATACATAGTATTTCTTCCATTTCCTCATCTTTTTATTCAAAAAAAATTTTTTTAAGTGTTTGGGTTTTGGTAGCCTTGAGGTTTGAATGCAGAGTTGTATTTGCCAGCCAGGCACTCTACCACTAGAACCACATTTCTGACTCTGCTTTAGTTGTTTTTCAGATGGCATCTCTTAGTTTTTTCTTTGGCTGGCTTATCCCAAATGATGTTCTTTTGTGTGTATGCGTGTGTGTTTGTGTTTGTGTGTCAGTCGTGGGACCTGAACTCTGGGTATGGGTGCTGTCCCTCAGCTTTTCAGCTCAAGCTAGCCCTCTACCTCTTGAGCTACAACGCCACTTCTGGCTTTTTCTGCTTATATAGTGCTGAGGAATTGAACCCAGGGCCTCATGCATGTAAGGCAAGCACTCTACCACTGAGCCACCTTCCCAGCCCCATGATGATGTTTCTTTTTTTTTTTTTTTTGGCCTCTTACACTTTTTAATTTAAAGTAATAACCAAGATTAGTTGATAGAGCTAAATGGTGCTGAGGAAGCGAACCCAGGGCCTCATGCATGCAAGGCAAGCGCTCTACCTCTGAGCCACCTTCCCAGCCCCATGATGATGTTTCTTAAGCCTCCTGTGTAACTGGGATGATAGACACATGCCACAAAGTTTTGTTGTTGTTTATTTGTTTGAGATGATGGAGTCTTGCAAACTTTGCTCTGTTGGGTCTTGGATCCTCCCAATTACCACTACTAGAAACAATTACATGCATGAGCTACCATGTTTGGAGCTCTCTTCCTGTATAGCCCAGATAAATTAAGTTCTAGGATTCCTGCTGCATTCAGATAGTTTTTCCCTCACCTTTTGGTTTGTTTGTTTATTTATTTATTTATTTTTTTGGTCGGTCATGGGGCTTGAACTCTGGGCTTTGACGCTGTCCCTCAGCTCTTCAGCTCAAGGCAAGCACTCTACCACTTGAGCTACAGTGCCACTTCTGGTTTTCTAGTGGTTTATTGGAGGTAGGAACCTCACAGTCTTTCCTGCCTGGGCTGGCTTTGAACCTCAATCCTCAGATCTCAGCCTCCTGAGTAGCTAGGATTATAGGCGTGAGCCACTGGCACCCGGCTGTTCATTTATTTTTAAAATAATTTTTTATTTAGATTAAGTAACTACATCAATTTCACAGGATTGTAGGATAGTGATACTTAAAGTAAAAATACATTTTAACCTTCACAAGGCAAGTTGTCATTATCTTGGTCTATAAAGTTTGTGAATTCTACAAGCTTTGATAGTACAACTTTTTCTTACATTAGGTGATAGGTACATTTCTTTTCCTTTGCTTAGTGTAAGCTGTTCTCTCTTACCCTCTTCTTCCCTCCCTCCTATCGCTGCCCTTGAGTTGCTTAGTTCGTTTTCATCAATGTCCAGTGCAGCTGGTGTACCTCTCTGTTGTATTTTTCCGTTTCCCTCTGATTCTGTGCCTTCCGCCTAGCTTCCCTCAGATGTAAATGTGTATATGTGTGTGTGTGTGTGTGTGTGTGTATGTGTATATATATATTTACCATGTATGAGGTCAAGAACATAGAATCATTTAGAAATTATATGACAAGTTAAGTAGATATCCTTTGTTTCTTGAGTCCTTTTTACTTTGTCATATCTCCTTGCATTTTGGATTTACCATCCACATATCAAGGAAACCATGTGCCATTTCTCTCTCTGATCTTGGCTTACCTCACTCTAAATGATTTGCTCTATTTCCATCCATTTCTCTATGAATGCCATTATTTTGTCCTTTCTAATGGCTGCATAATATTCCATTGTATATAGGTACCACAATTTTTGGATCCATTCATCTGTAGTGGGGCATCTGGGTTGTTTCCATATCTTGACTGTTGTGCATGTGTCCTCGTATCCTGGTTCCTGGTAGATGCCCAGGAGTGGTATGGCTGGGTCATAGAGGAGGTCTATATTTAGTTTTTGTGTGCGTGTTGCATTTTTTTATTGTGAAAATCCATACAGAGGGGTTACAATTACATGGGCAAGGTAATGAGTACATTTCATATTATATTTAGGTTTTCGAGGTACCTCCAGACTGCTTTCCAAAGTGGTTGTATTAGTTTACATTCCCACCAGCAATGCAATAGGGTTCCTCTTTCTCTGCATCCTCTCCAGCATTTGTTGTTGGCTGAATTTAGGATATGTGCCATTCTAACTGGGGTAAGGTAGTATATCAGGGTTGTTTTCATTTGCATTTCCTTTACAGCTGGGGATGATGAACATTTCCTCATGTGTTTCTTTGCCATTTTTATCTCTTCTTCTGAGAAGTGTTTCTCTAGTTCCCTTGCCCATTTAATGACTGGTTTTAGATTTGGGATGGATTAGTTTTTTGAGTTCTCTATATATAATAGATACTAGGCTTTTGTCTGATATGTTGTTGGTAAATATTTTTTCCCAATTGTTGGTTGTCTTTTTAGTTTGGCTGCTATGTCCTTAGCTGGGCAGAACTTTTTTTGTGTGTGTGTCGGTCATGGGGCTTGAACTCTGGGCTTGGGTGCTGTCTCTATGCTCTTCAGCTCAAGACCAGCACTCTACCATCTGAGCCACAGCAGCACTTCTGGTTTTCTAGTGGGTTATTGGAGATAAGAGTCTCACGGTCTTTCCTGCCTGGGCTGGCTTTGAACCACGATCTTCAGATCTCAGCTTCCTGAGTAGCTAGGATTACAGGCGTGAGCCACCGGTGCCCAGCTGGGTAGAACTTTTTATTTTAAGGTTGTTCTGTTTGTCGAGTCACTCCGATTTGTTGTAACCCTGGGACTCTGTTTAGGAAGTTCCTGCCTGTGCTATAAGTTTGAGTGTCTCTCTTATTCTGTGCTGCCGTAGTTTCAGATTTGATATTAAGGTCTTTAATACATTTTGAGTTGATGTTAGTACATGGTGATAGGTTGAGTTCCACTTTTATTTTTGGTTTGTTTATTTTATCCCTTTTTAAGAGTACACATGGAGCTGGGGTGCCAGTGGCTCACATCTGTAATTTGAGCTACTCAGGAGGCTAAGATCTGAGGGTTGTGATTCCAAGTCAGCCCAGGCTGGAAAGTCCATAAGATTTAGTCTCCAATTAACCACCAGAAAAACAAAAGTGGTGCTGTGGATTAAAGTGGGAGAGCATTAGCCTTGAGCAAAAAAGCTCAGGGACAGTATCCATGGAGAGTTCAAGCCCAACAACCAACAACAACAACAAAATGTTCACATGCGGGGTGGGGGAGGATAGGAGGGTAGGAATGTGGTTCAGTGGTAGAGTGCTTGCCTAGCATGCATGAAGCCCTGGGTTTGATTCCTTAGTACCACATAAACAGAAAAGGCTGAAAGTGATACTTTGGTTCAAGTGGTAGAGTACTAGCTTTGCGCAAAAGAAACTCAGGGACAGTGCCCAGGCCCTGAGTCCAAGCTCCACAAATTGGCCCCCCCCAAAAAAAAAGAAAAAAAAAGAAAGTACACATGGAATAGATGGAACTAGACATAGTGGTACAAACTTACAGTTCTTCCAGTGGCTCACGCCTGTAATCCTAGCTACTCAGGAGGCTGAAGTCTGAGGATTGTGGTTCAAAGCCATTCACAGACTTTCTATGAGACTCATGTCCAATAAACCCCTAGAAAACTGTAAGTGGCGCTATGGCTCAAGCGGTAGAGCCCTTGCCTTGAGCTGAAGAGCACAGGGACAGCGCCCAAGCCCAGAGTTCAAGCCCCATGACTGACAAAAAAAAACAAAAAAAGAAAAAAAACTATAGTTCTGGTCTTTTCTTTTTGTTTGTTTTGTTTTGCCAGTCCTGGGCACTGTCCATGAGCTTCTTTTTGCTCAAGGCTAGTATTCTACCACTTGAGCCAAAACGCTACTTCTAGCTTTTTCTGTTTATGTGGTGTTGAGGAATTGAACCCAGGTCTTTATGCATGCTTGGCAAGCACTCATAAGCCACATTCCTAGCCCCAAACCTATAGTTCTTAGGAACTTACATAGTTCTTAGGAACTTCTTGGGTTAAGTAATTTTGTTATTACAATGTAGAGCTTTTATTTAGTCAGATTAGCTTTTATTTGAGTTCTTAGATTCTAAATGAATGCAGTTTAATATCTCAAATTGTCTTTTAATTTGTAATATTTGCAATTTCTTAGCAAGAGTAGAGTGGCTTATAATTAATAATGCATTAAACCTACTTGAACATACGAGAAATAGATTTTTGTCTACCCTGATTTACATAGGCTACAAGAAGTGTTTTAAAGAAAGAATTCTATATTGTATAATACAATACAGCATTCAGAAGGCTGAGGGAAGCGTTTAAGATCAGCCTAGGGGGGCTGGGAAGGTGGCTCAGTGGTAGAGCGCTTGCCTTGCATGCATGAGGCCCTGGGTTCGATTCCTCAGCACCATGTAAGCAGGAAAAAAAAAAAAAAGATCAGCCTAGGTTACTCTCTTTAAAAAAAATGGGAAATGGAATCAGGGTAAGAAAGGTCCAAGGTGACATTGGACATATAAGAGGTCACACACAGCCTTTTCAGGAATTTGGACACATTATTTTAATGTTTACTTAGAGAATGCTTTTTTTTATTTTTTATTTTTTTATTTTATTTGTGAACATACTGTACAGAGGGGTTACAATTACATGGGCAGGATAATGCGTACATTTCTTACCAAGCATTTGCAGCCTCCTCCTTAGAGAATGCTTTTAAGACGAGAATTTTTCAGACTTAGTTATCTGGATTATTTTACTGTTTTATTTAAATCTATTATATTTATCCTTCCTAACAGAATAGTTCCAATAAACTAACAGTGCCTAACAGTGTGATCTGTTTTGATTATCTGTTCTGAGAAATGCAACATTAGGTAGTTTTCATCACTTCATGGAGCTAAGACTGTATGATGTGACTAGACAATATAGAGGCTAATAGGACCTCCCCCCATATATGATCTGTCATTATGTAGTATGATAGCTTCTTCTTCCCTTTCCCTTCTTATTTTCTACTTTGTTAATTTCATGCACTCATTGCTTAATTTGTTTTGTTTCCTACCCCTTTTTTCTTCATCCTTTGGCTTCTATAATAGTACTGTATTTTGGGCTCAGTTAAAGACTGCCTATTTTAGTGTGACCAACTTCAACTTTCCCAGAAGGCAAAGTTGGTAACTGTAGGAAAGTTTGTGTTGTGAATGTTTTTAAAATTTAGAAAGGTATGATTGTGCCAGGCGCCAGTGGCTAATGTCTGTAATCTTGGCTACACAGGAGGCTGAGATCTCTAGGGCAGTCTGGGCAGGAAAATTTGTGAGACTCTCACCCCAGTTAACCCCAAAAATCCAGAAGTAAAGCTATAGTTCAAGTGGTGGAATGCTAGCCTTGAACAAAAAAGGTCTGGGACAGCACCCAGGCCCTGAGTTCAAGACTAAGGACTGGCACATACACAGATAAAATAGACACAGATACAGACAGACTGGCACATACACAGATCAAATAGACACAGACAACACAGACAGACAGACAGACACACACACACATACACAAAGGTAAGATTATTTTAAACTTAGAATAGATGGCTGTGTTAAATAATAAAGTATTTTCAATTATTTTTCTCTTTTTGTTATATGTAATAAAGCTTTATACATCTTTTTTTCCTGTTTATTCACAAAAGAAAGGTGGTGGGAGAAGCTGTGGAAGATTCCCGAGTGCATAAGGGGCTGGGATGATCGGCTGAAGCACCATGCTCCTAGCCAACTCGCTTTCCAAGGTGGTCTGACTAAGTCCAGTCAGCTTCTCAAGAGCTGAGTGTGCCCGGTCACATTTACTTTTTACTAAGCGCTTTAAAAAATACCTGTTACTTGTGATACTCTGAGAGACGTTCAAAGTAGATTTTGTTTAATAAAAACAAAAGCTGGCTAAGCTTATTTGCATGCCTTTGCATTGCTTGCATCTTGGACTGCGGGCCAAATTACGCTTTAAAAGGAGCTTGAAAATAAAAATATTTCAGCGTAATTCTATGTATGGGTTAAAAAAGATGGAAGCATTAGATAAAGATGTATGTTTTAATATGAGGTAGGCTGATTTTGTGCAATATATTATGAAGGCAAAATGGGTAGTAGAACAACATTTAATTTGGAAATTTTGACAAATGTTTTGTTTATATGGTAATTATAGTTTTATGTCAGATAAAGTCTGGCCAAAATAATGCAGCCATGATTATGAATGCCTTTCTGTTATGTAATGTTTAAGTCTTTTTTTCCTCTTTGTCCAAGAAATGTAAACTCACACCTGAGGCCACAGCATCTCGGAAAAAACCTAGTGGTCAACATTAACCAGATAAACATGATGGGCATAAATAAGGGTCACACCCAAAAAAATCTCAATGGCATCTGTGTTACTAAATATTAGAAATATTCAGTAGTGACTTCTTTGTGTTTGTTATGTGAGAGCTGATTAAATTCAAATAGTACTAACCCACGTAACCAGCTTTCCTGTGGCATGGTTAGCCTGTCTTCTGAAAAATTGTTTTGCTTTTTTGAAGCATGAGATTTGCTTTGGAGCTTTAAATTAAGTTCTAGTTCACATTTTATCCCTACTTTTAGTGCTTTGCTTTTCTTGAAATTGGTCTAATGGGGATTATAATTGAGTGATTTTTCTTCTGTGAACCTATAGTTTGCTGAAATAAGGCACAGTATTAAGTCATACAATTGGGGAAAAGAAGTTGAAATGTCCAAGGAATGTTTCCTAAGCTTGCGATTTTTTATGTACTTTTTTCTTTCCTTCATTTGTTTTTCATAAGCAGTACCAGTCTAATCCTTAATTTTGGCGATAGCTCTTGTGTCACTTCCTCATGCTGACATATTTACTAGAGGGTAAAATTAAAAACCTTCTAGTAAGAGTGGCAGTCGAAGGGAAGGGCTCATCTAACTTCTGGAAGCCTATATTAGTAAACCATAGTGATTTGACCTTGATGGTGACCCCATAGGATAATGGGCAGGTACACTGAGGAAACTTTTGGTGGCTGTTTTATTTTGCAAGCTACAAGAACTGTTCGATGCCTTGTTGTGTTGCTTATCAGCAGTAGAGCTTACTTTTTTTTTTTGAAACTGAATAGCCAGGATTTTTTTTAAACTTGTGTTGTATGCCTCTGATTAGCAATGAAATACTAGGAGAATAAATTTATAAGATTCAGGAGGAAGATAGGTGATTATAACCCCCCCAGAAGAGTAGATATTTCCAATTAGAATATCTGTAACAGAGTCCTGTAATAGAGGTCTTTTTTGTTTCTGCTTATTTTGGTAAATTGAACATTTGTGTGTTGGTTTGTGTTGGTTTCATTTTTGGCTATCTCTTGTGTTAAAAGGCATGTAGGGATTGCATTAGTTACAGTAATTGTATTTCATGTGAAAGCTTTGCTAAAAATTTTAATGCCTGATTATCAACTTTTTTAAAATAGTATTTTCATCTCAGCCTAATGATGATGAATCAAGTAGTGATGAAACAAGTCATCAACCCTGTCCTGCCTATCGACGCCGCCGTGGGAGGAAGAAGACAGTTTCTACTTCAGAGTCTGAGGAACGGCTACTTGCCGAGCAAGAACATGAACCTTCTAAGGAGTTGAGTAAACGCCAGTTCAGTAGTGGTCTCAATAAGTGTGTTATTCTTGCTTTGGTCATTGCTATCAGCATGGGATTTGGACATTTCTATGGTAAGTATTTGAAAAGAAGTTAGATATAAAGTGATCCTTAGTATAGAGGAACTTACTAAGAGACGAGGAGCGAGGAGCCATGGTCTCTGTGCTCTCTGAATTATTAACTATATGACTATCAACTTGACTTAATCTGTTTTCTCATTTGGACAATGGAGGTAGTGCTGCCTAGCTCTGAATACTTTGTGTGTAAATGAAGGAGTAGTTATTAACAGATACAAGATCAGACCCCAGTTAGGTTGGCCAACAATGTGAATTTGAACAACAAATGTTGGCAGGGATGTGGGGGTAAAGGAACCCTACTGCACTGTTGATGGGAATATAAACTAATAAAACCACTCTGAACAGCATGCAGTTCCTCAAAAAACTAAACATAGACCTTCTCTATAAACCAGCCATACCATTCCTGGGCATCTATACTTAGAATATCATGAGCCAGGATGTGATAAAGACTTGCACATCCGTGTTCATTGCTGCACTATTCACAATAGCCAAGATATGGAAATAGTGCTGATGCCCTACAGTAGATGAGTGAGTCCAAAAAAATGTGGTACCTATACACAGTGGAATTTTACACAGCCATTAGAAAGAATTAAAAAAAAAAAGTCATTTGCAGGGAAATAGATGAAGCTAGAACAAATCATGTTAAGTGAAGCCATACTCAAAGAGACAAACCGCATGTTCCCTCTGATATGTGGAAATTAGATAAAAAAGACATTGAAATATGATAAATTATACCGGGTACTAGCTATAGTAAGACTACAAGAGAGAATATGCTTTTTTTTGGGGGTCGGTCGTGGGGCTTGAACTCTGGGCTTGGGCACTGTCCCTCAGCTCTTCAGCTCAAGGCAAGCGCTGTACCGCTTGAGCCACAGCGGCATTTCCAGTTTTCTAGTGGTTTATTGGACTTTCCTGCCTGGGCTGGCTTTGAACCATGATCCTCAGATCTCAGCCTCCTTAGTAGCTAGGATTACAGGTGTGAGCCACCAGTGCCCGGCTAAGAGAGGATATTCTTAAGAGAGAGCAATGCCTACGTGCCTTTTCATATTAACATAAAATTATATATATATATATATATGTGTGTGTGTACATACATATATATATATATATATATATACACACACAAATGAACTCTAATATACGGAAACAAGAGACCTTTATTTTCCCCATTTCATTTTTTATATTTGTATTTTTTGAAGATTCTGTCTTTTCCTTATGTATGGTATATTCATGTGTATATCTTCAGGAGGGTTGGGGGGGAGAGGACACTACTCAAGGGAAGAAGGGTGAAAAAGTACAGCAATAAGAGCTCACTGGACACTGGTGAAAGTGAAATATATAACGTGTGTGGAGATGGGAGGGAGACAAGGAACGTACTCATTACTTGACTCTAATTTCTTTGTGCATCATTTCTTTTTTTTTTTTTTTGGTCCTGGGGCTTGAACTCTGGGCCTGGGTGCTGTCCCTCAGCTCTTCAGCTCAAGGCGAGCGCTCTACCACTTGAGCTACAGCGCCACTTCCGGTTTTCTGGTGGTTTATTGGAGATAGGAGTCTCACAGTCTCTCCTGCCCGGGCTGGCTTTGAACTGTGATCCTCAGATCTCAGCCTCCTCAGTAGCTAGGATTACAGGCGTGAGCCACCAGCGCCCGGCTGTGCATCATTTCTATAATAAGTAAATTAGAAAAATATATAATATCAGGTACCTGTAGTTTATACCTGTAGTCCCAGCTGCTCATGTGACTGAGACAGAATTGTTTGACTGCCAAAGTTTGAAACCAGCATGGAGATCATAGCCAGATTGTGGCTCAGTAAGGATAAGAGCCAGCGGGGGAGGCTCATGCCTCTAACCTAACTACTTAGTTCACTGAGGTTGGGATCAGCTAGGTTTCAAGCCAGCCCTTGCAAAAAAAAAAAAATTAGTAGCTTATGAGACTTCATCTCAAATGGAAGAAGCTCAGCATGGAGGTATGCAGCTGTCATCTGAGAAGAGGAATTTTTTCTGTGTGGTATTACTGTTTTTCACATAGGAATCTAACTGTTGAGTCTTACTATGATTCTACAAAGACAGGAGTGTTTGACAAATCATACTTCGTTCTGTGGGACTGCGCGGGAGTATACTTTCCAAAGAAACGTCTTAGGTCTTGGCATATTCAGAGGTTTTTATTTTGTCTTACATAAACTATTTCTTTTGGTCCACATTATCTATGCTCATTCTGTTTTGCTATTTATTTTCAACATTTTTTTTTTTTTTATGAAGAACAATGTGTTCTTTTTTCTTTTTTCTTTTTTTTGTCTGTCCTGGGGCCTAAACTCTGGGCCTGGGCACTGTCCCTCAGCTCTTCAGCTCAAGGCTAGCGCTCTACCACTTGAGCTACAGTGTCACTTCCGGCTTTTTTTCTTTTTGCTTATGTGGTGCTGAGGAATCGAACTCAGGGCCTCATGCATGCAAGGCAAACGCTCTACCACTGAGCCACCGTCCCAGCCCAACAATGTGTTCTTTATGTGCTGTTTATGGAAAAGTTGTTAAACAACATTGTGTGATGTTAGCATAAACATTGTATGTGTGTGCGCGCGCACGCGGGTGGGGGCTTGAACTCAGGGCCTGGACACTTAGCTTTTTCACTGTGGGCTGGTCCTCTACCACATGAGCCACAGCTCTACTACTGCCTTTTGGTGGTTAGAGATGAGTCTCACAAACTTCCTGGTCTGGCTTTGAAACATTCTCAGAACTCAGACTTACGAGTAGCTAGAGTTACAGGTGTGAGTCACCAGCATCCAGCTCAGAATAAACTTAATGAGACAATCAATACTTGTTTTTTTTTAAAAAATAAGTATTTAGATTACTGATGGATGCCTGTTTGAATTTAATGCTGAGGCACTATGACTTGTATTCTCCCTTAAAGTTTGTAGTAATGAAGTTTGATTTGAAATATACATTTAACTTTATTGAGTAGCTTGGTCAGTTGTATTGATAAGATTTTCAGTGTGAATTTTTTCCTTTTACAGGTAAACATGAAGGTAACAAAGGAGGTCTTAACCCTTTTTCTTACTAAAAGCAAAAATTGAAAGTGATTTTTAAAATCTTACCAATTGCATGCTCTTTGAATGTTTTGTAGAAGTTCAGTTCAAAACAGTCCTTTCAAAAGTGAAAATTTTCATTTAGAATTTTGTTTGCTAGTAAAATTTATTTCAATAATGATAACCAATAAAGTAGTTATATAATTTCACTTGAGTGATACAGTGGTATATACTACTATATACAGTATAGAAAATTGGTTTAATAAAAATGTAAGACTCACCTTGAATGATCTTTCAACTTGATTACCACATTTTTTTCTGAACATTGGCCCTGATCTGAGTATTACTCTAGATTTGCTTGCAGAGCTAGTTTGAATTTCCCATTCACCTAATTTGTATCCCTAAGCAATCATTTGCATTATAAACTCCCAAGTATTGCTTAGAACATTCACCAGTCTTGGCTCTTTCTAAGTTCAGAGTATCCAGTGTACATTGGAAGAGAGAGCTCAGGATAATAAAATAGTGTACTTGGTTCAAATCTGAAAGTGTTTGTAAATACTTAAAATATATATGTATATGTATGAGTTACTTCCTTGCTCCTGTTGATTTGGTTTTCTTGTGTAGTTTCTGTAAGTATTGCTGAGTCTGTCATCAGGCAGTATATAAGTAGATGCTCAGTTATATAGCACACTTAACTGAATCACCCTAGGTACAGGATTTGAGTTAGGTCTGCTCTTAGCAAGCTAATAGGTAGAAGGAAAGAGAAATTTCAGCCAAGGACCTTAGTTTCAGAGGAAGAAACAAACTTTCTAGCTTTTGGAGCAGAGGGAAGATGGCTGGAGTACAGATGAGTTATTTAGAAATAATGGAGTAGGTGGGTGCTATTAGGCTATAAAACATCTTAGAATATGTGTAAAGAAGTTTATTTCGTGACAAGAATGAAAAAGTGAGAGAAAGTGCTGGCAGGTAAGTATGGCATGGAACAAACTGGAACAGCTAGCTGTGTAGCCAGAGATTTGCTGAGGAGGGCCTTGAGAATGTTAGTGGCAGCAAGGATCAATGGAAGTTAGTAAAGTGACTTTGAGGACTAACAAGGTAGGACTGAGCCTGGGGTATTGGTAGACTGTTCAATTCTAGGAAGTGTGCTGTTTGACTTTTGGGGTATCCAGGGAAGAGTTGCACTAGGTTATGAAGTAAATAGTTGAGAAGTGGAGTTTGAATGGTTTGTACTGAAATCATTGATGAATGGTTTAGAATAGTGCCTGAGCTTTGACACCTTCCTCCCTCTAAAGAAACTCCTAAAATGGTACCCAGAATCAACTACATGTGTTGTCCAGAAGCTCTTATAAGTGGTGGCAACTGCATCTCAAGCTGAGAAGTCATTCAGGAAGGACAAGCCAGTAAGCAGTATTTGTTGATATGACTAGCCCAAAAATTGTGCCTTGGAACTGGGTGCTGGCAGCTCATGCCTATAATCCTAGCTACTCAGGAAGCTGAGATCTGAGGATCCTGGTTCAAAGCCAGTAGGGGCAGAAAAGGCTGTGAGACTCCAATAAACCACCAGAAAACTGGAAGTGGTGCTGTGGCTCAAGTGGTAGAGCTTTAGCCTTGAGCTGAAGAGCTGAGGGATAGCGCTCAGGCCCAGAGTTCAAGCCCCAGGACTGACCAAAAATAAATAGTGCCGGGGCTGGGAAGGTGGCTCAGTGGTAGAGCGCTTGCCTTGCATGCATGAGGCCCTGGGTTGGATTCCTCAGCACCACATAAGCAAAAAGAAAAA